GCTGTGATTATAGGTGCACACCACCACACCTGGATAATTTTTGTATCTTTAGTAGGGACGGGGTTTCACCATGTTGGCCAGGCTGGTCTCAGACTCCTGACCTTGTGATTTGCCTGCCTCAGCCTCCTGAAGTGCTGGGACTACAGGTGTGAGTCACCATACCTGGCCCACTCAAGAATTCTTTAGGGATTGCTCTCCTAAGCCAAGGAGTGAGGGAGCTGAGTTCTTTCTTTCTTTTTATTTTCTTTTTTTTTTCTTTTTGAGATGGAGTGTTGCTCTTGTTGCCAGGAGTGCAATAGTGCGATCTCGGCTCACCACAGCCTCCGCCTCCTGGGTTCAAGTAGCTAGGATTACAGGCATGTGCCACCATGACCAGCTAATCTTTTTGTATTTTTAGCGGAGACAGGGTTTTTCCATGTTGGTCAGGCTGGTCTCGAACCCCTGACCTCAGGTGATCCGCCTGCCAAAGTACTGGGATTACAGGCATGAGCCGCCGTGCCTGGCTGAGCTGAGCTCTTTCTACCCTCAAGGACTTACAGCCAGTCAGCTGAGGAGACTAGGGGGAGAGATGCTTCCTCCTAGTGCTCAGGTGGGCTCTGTAACCTGGGCAGTGGGTGCACAGCTGAACTGCGTGGGCAGATAGTAGTGTTCCTTTCACCACTCATGGGACTGCTGCCTGCTATGGTCTGAATGTTCATATCCCTCCCCGACAAATTCACATTTTCAAACCTAACCCCCAATGCAATTGTTTTAAGAAGTGGGACCTCGGGAGGCGAGCCCTCATGAATGGGATTAGTGCCCTTTAGAAGATACCAAAGGGAGCTCATTTACCCCTTCTGCCACGTGAATACACAGATAGAAAATGCCTTCTATTAAGCAGAGAGTGAGCCCTCACCAGACACTGAATCTGTTGACATCTTGATCTTAGAATTCTCAGCCTCTAGAATTGTGAGAAATAAACTCTTATAAGCCATCTAGTTTATGAGACTGTATAACTATAGGGAAAATAAAAGGCAATCAATAGTGGAATAAAAAATTACAATAAAACCGTGAGGTCGGTGAAAGGAAAAAAGAGAATGAAGAGCAACTTGTCAAAACCATAAAAGCAAAGACAAAGAAAAGAGAAAAATTAAGTAAATAGTAAATATGATGAAAAAAAGAATAAAATTAAAAGGTCAATTTTACTAAAAATGAAGTACAGTAAATTAATTTTTATATTCACAAATTCTAAAATATTTTAACAGAAAACAATCTCTATCACTAAATTATTTATGAAAAAGACATTTTAAATGGGGTAAAAAAGTTCTGAAAACAAAGTGATAGACTGAAGTGATATAAATAAAACAGTAGAAAGCTGGGTATCATGTTAACGTATGACTTACCACACATAAGGTATGTGTGTGTCATGTGACACAAAGGTATTGCTCCATCATAAACCTGTATGCATCAAACAACATGGAGCTAAATTTAAGGAAAGGTGGTAAAATATGATGATTTTTAAAACTGTTATAGGGAATTTTATTTTATGGGAGATTTTCATGTACATTTTTCAGAATCAGAGAAACTTTATAGTCTGAAAGTAATAAAACGCTGGGCATGATGGCTCACGCCTGTAACCCCAACACTTTGGGAGGCCAAAGTGGGTGGATCACTTGAGGTCAGGAGTTCCAGACCAGTTTGGTTAACATGGTAAAACTCTTGTCTCTACTAAAAATAAAAACATTAGCCAGCGTGGTGACACAGGCCTGCAATCCCAGCTACTCAGGAGGTTGAGGCAGGAGAATCGATTGAGCCTGGGAGACCGAGGTTGCAGTGAGCCAAGATTGCACTACTGCACTCCAACCTGGGCAACAGAGCGAGATTCTGTCCCCAAAAACAACAACAAAAAAACTAAGTGAAGACATTGGAAAATTGAATGATATAGTCAACAATTTCAAGTTAGTAGATATGGTCTTTTTGTCTTTTAAGTAAGGATGTGTGTGTGTGTGTGTGTGTGTGTGTGTGTGTGTATGTATATTTCTTCCCATATGTCCATAGATTATTTATAAAAATTGTTTGGTAATTAGTCTCAAAAACTTCTAACAAAATTTAAAAATTTTAACAAAGTTTGCAGGCCTTAAAGAAAATCTCACACCAAATGTTGGAAAGCTTAGACTATAACATAATAAAATTAGAGATAAGTATAAAAAAGATAAACAAAAATACTTAATTACCTATAAATTAACACATTTTTAGGCCTGGTGTGATGGCTCATGCCTATAATTCCAGCACTTTGCCAGGCTGTAGCAGGTAAATTGCTTGAGGCTGGGAGTTTTTGATCAGCCTGAGCAACATAGTGAGAATCTGTCTCTATAAAAAATTAAAAAAAAAATTAGACAAGCATGGTAGTGCCTGTCTGTAGTCCTAGCTTCTTGGGAGGCAGAGGTGGGAGGATCACTTGAGAACAGGCGTTCAAGGTTACAGTGAGCTATAATCATGTCAGCTTGGGTGACAGAGCAGGACTTTGTCTAAAAAGAAAAAAAAAGTGAAAGAAAGAAAGAAGGAAGAAAAGGAAAAACATTTCTAAAAATCTTGGATTAGTGAGAAAATCAAAACAGATTAGACATATGGGATGCAATAAAAAGGAAAATATGCAAAATGAAGGGAATGGAATACAGTAAAAGCTGTGTTCTGAAGGAATTCTTAAGTCTTAAACACATTAATTTCCAGAGAAGAAAGACTGTAATAAAAACAAACCTAGGCTGAGCGTGGTGGCTCATGCCTGTAATCCCAGCACTTTGGGAGGCCAAGGCAGGCAGATCACGAGGTCAAGAGATCAAGACCATCGTGGCCAATGGGGTGAAACCTCTTCTCTACCAAAAATACAAAAATTAGTCGGACACGGTGGTGCATGCCTGTCATCCCAGCTACTCGGGAGGCTGAGGCAAGAGAATTACTTGAATCCAGGAGGTGGAGGTTGCAGTGAGTAAGCTGAGATCGCACCACTGTACTCCAGCCTGGGTGACAGAGTGAGACTCCGTCTCAAAAAAAGAAACCCAAAAAAAATCCCCCCAAAAAACTTGATAGTAATCTTAACAAATTAGAAAAATCCATAAAATATTCTTTTAGAAAGTATGAAGGGAGAATAATAAAAATAAAAGCTAAAAATAGTGACATATAAGTGGAAAAAAAATAATTTAAATGTTGATTCTTTGAAAAAATAGTAAGAGAGATAAACTTTTCCTGAGCCAGATTAATTTTTTTAAAAAGGAGAGAAGGAAGCCAAAATTCAGAATAAAGATGAAAAAGAAGATAATCACAGACTCCTCACTGATGAATGAACTTATAAGCAACAGCTGGGCATGGTGGCTCACACCTGTAATCCCAGCACTTTGGGAGGCCGAGGTGGGTGGATCACGAGGTTAGGAGTGTGAGATCAGCCTGGCCAAGATGGTGAAATTCTGTCTCTACTAAACGTACAAAAATTAGCTGGGCACTGTGGTGGGTGCCTGTAATCTCACCTACTCAGGAGGCTGGCACAGGAATCCCTTGAACCCGGGAAGTGGAGGTTGCAGTGAGCAGAGATTGCACCACTACACTCTAGCCTGGGCAACAAAGCAAGACTCCACATCAAAAAAAAAAAAAAAAAAAAAAAAAAAGAAAAAAAAAAAAGATTATAAGCAACTATAACATTTAATCTCACAGAAACGAATGAGAAAATCTAAAAGAAATCACCAATTAGAAAAACATGTTTCAAATTTTGTCCCAAGGAGACATAAAATCACTTGCATAAATTAATCATCAGAGAAGAGACTCAAAAGGTATTCAGACATCTATCATGTAAAAAACTTTTAGGCCAGGCACAGTGGCTCATACCTGTAATCCCAGCACTTTGGAAGGCTGAGGCCAGAAGACTGCTTGAGCCTAGGAGTTTGAGACCAGCCTAGGCAACACAGCCAGACCCCATCTCTACAAAAAATTAGCTGGTTGTGGTAGTGTGCACCTGTAGTCCCAGCTACTCAGGAGGCTGAGGCAGGAGGATTGCTTGAGCCCAGGAGGGCAAGGCTACAGTGAGCCATGGTCATGCCACTGCACTCCAACTTTGGGTGAGAGAGAAAAAGAGAGACCCTGTCTCAAAAAATAAAGGGCACTTGGTAAATACAGCTGGCAGATATAATTTACAAAACTAAGTAAACCAGAAAATGTTTGGGGAATTCTCCCTGGTACTCTTGGAGCTAGGGTACAGGTACCAACCCTGTGATATTTCATCCCACTTGGGTAAGATATAATTCACAAGAGCAGGATGTCAAGGGGGACTTCCTAACAGGACAATATAAGGGCACCACTTTGATAAATTTTAAGGAAAATCAGCTCAGCAGTAGGGAAAAAAAAAGTCAGGGTTTTTGACATAGGCAGTTACAAGGCAGTATTTCTCTGGAGAAGCGCTTTTAAGACAGGCAGTGCCAGCTTCTGGAGCATACAGTCTGTGTACTCACACAGGGACCTGCATTTTCATTTTGTACTCCGCTCTGCAAATCATGCAATTGATCCTGAGCATAAGTTAGCACTCAACTCCAAGGTGGGCATTTTGCTGCCACATACAGATCAATTTTGACACATTTTAACAGTCCTCAGGTGAATTAAAGAAGTGAGTACAAATATGTTGGTGATCATATTCGAGAATGCGGCTACTTAGTGTGGATGGGTAGACAAGTTTAATGTTTCTAGGCATTGTCATTCTTAGGCATCTTCAGAATAGATCCCTTTCATTTCACAATTAAAATTTTAAAAATAGTTTTAAAATGCGGCTGGGCGCTGTGACTCAGGCCTGTAATCCCAGCACTTTGGGAGGCCGAGGTGGGCGGATCACTGAGGTAATTTTGTATTTTTGTATTTTTAGTAGAGACGAGGGTTCTTCATGTTGGCCAGGCCAGTCTCGAACTCCTGACCTCAAGTGATCTGGCTGCCTTGGCCTCCCAAAGTGCTGGGATTACAGGTGTGAGCCACCAGGTGTGGCCTCAAGAAAGATTTCAAAGCCTTGGTGCACTATCTCAATTTTTTTTTTTTTTTTTTTTGCCTCCAAAGAACTATACAATGTGAACTACATTATGTTATTCTGGCTTCCCCTAAGTGAGACTAGGATTGGATTTCCCCCAGTCCTCTGGTTATTCTAGTCCCAAACATTTTTTCCCAGAGCCTACAATGTCTGAGGATCTGGCCTATGCACTGAAGACACAGTGTCAAATCAAACAGATTCGCCTCATTCCCTGCCCTCATTGGAGGTAAGGTTCTTGTGAGGAAGACAGCTCATCACACAACTAACTTGCAATAAATGTCGTGAAGCAGACATTAAAGAGGCAACGAGAGAAGTGATCCTAAGCTGAAGTTGAAGTGATACTGAGCTTTAGTGATCTTCAGCTGAAGTAGAAGTGATACTGACCTGTGATCTTCAGCTGAAGTAGAAGTGATATTGAGCTCTAGTGATCTTCAGCTGAAGTAGAAGTGATATTGACTTTAGCGATCTTCAGCTGAAGTTGAAGTGATACTGAGCTCTAGTGATCTTCAGCTGAAGTTGAAGTGATACTGAGCTCTAGCGATCTTCAGCTGAAGTTGAAGTGATACTGAGCTTTAGTGATCTTCAGCTGAAGTCAAAGTGATATTGAGCTTTAGCATGTGAACAAGGTTCCCAACATTGCATCATGGCAGTGGTTTTCAAGTTGTACTTTCTAGAATCATTTTTGGATCCATAAGGGAGAGTGGGGAAACGGGAAGAGACCTGACTACTCAAAGTAGGGTAGGGTTGAAAGGCAATAGATATATTTACCCAAGCAATGGAGACTTACTTTCTCTGAGACTCATAGCTGCAGCAGAGATGGGATGAATTTGCCACATCTGAAAGCAAAAAGATTTGAGAGTTGCTTATAAGGGAATAAATAAATACAACCCGATCTATTCCCTGGTTTCGTGTCAACAGATTATCTATAAACTTATAAGCTTCTCATGATTCCTGGAACCTCTCCTGGTCTCTGGCACCCACACCTTCAACTCCAGTTTCCTGGGTTACCATGTGCTTACTCCCAAAAGCCTAGCTGCATCAGGACACTCTGTCCTATCAAAATGGAAGACTGTCCTGGTGGAACTGAAGCTCTGCTTCTCCTGCATCATGCTGCAGCACCTACAAGTCCTGCTGTCTCCAGAAAGCCACACTTGCCACTTAGGCCTTCTTTCTCCATCTCTCTCAGAAAGGGGGCTTAGAATAAGAGGAGATGGTAGACGGTCTCTTTGTTAATAACAACCACTTCTATTTACTGCATGCTTACTGTGTCCCAGTATTTTATTTTTAATATCACAGCAACCCCACGAGAAAAGAAGTATTAGCCCTGGGTCCTAGTTGTGAAACCCGAGGTTCAGAAAAGTTAAGAATCTTGCTCAAATTTATACTGCTAGTAAGTGACAGTGCCAGGTGTGAGCCCTTTGCGTGTGCTCCAAACCATTCAGTGAAAAAGGCAAGAAGTCAGCTAGGCATGGTGGCTCACGCCTGTAATCCTAACACTTTGGGTGGCCGAGGTGGGCAGATTATGACATCAGGAGTTTGAGACTAGCCTGGCCAGCATAGTATAAAAACCTGTCTCTACTAAAAATACAACAATTAGCTGGGCATGGTGGCACATGCCTGTAGTCCCAGCTACTCAGGAGGCTGAGGCAAGAGAATCGCTCTAGTTACGCTACTTCTCTAGTGAGGCAGGAGAATTGCTTGAACCCGGGAGGCAGAGGTTGCAGTGTGCTGAGATCATGCCACTGTTCTCCAGCCTGGGTGACAGAGCAAGGTTCCATCTCAAACAAAAAAGGCAAGAAGTCTTAGGTCACCTATCTAGTGGGAGGCACAGAGACTCATTCAGATAAGGCCATTAAAAAAGAAGGTGGAGGGGGAACATGAGTTAGTACTTGAAATTCTGCTGTCTTGACACAAATAGCCTATCTCAAAATGATAAATGTATTTGTTAATGGAATTTACACATTTTCTACATAGCACATGTTTTGTATGTGGTGTTGAGCATAGAGGTCTTCATTATGAGTCAGGAAATGGAAGTTCCACTTCCAATGAGAGCTGCGTCTCTGTCACAAATGGCTTTATTATTCAAAATGTTCAGACCCCAGTTTCTGTCTTCACTTGACTGAGAAGAATTCAAGGACGGAGAATGTTCTAGTCTCCTTTGTATCTCTAGTATCTAGTACAGGGCCCCAAAATGTTTGAGGGTGGAATGACTAGGGAAGGAGGGGAAAGAAGGAGGAAGAGACTTATGTTGTAACATCAGTCCTGGTGTCAGCAATATGAATTAAAACAGTTTGCAGGGTTTGTTGAAAAGGTCTATTGTCCATCTTGGTGGCAAACTAGGAGGAAATGGTACCTAGCAAGGGCCTCTTTTGCAGAAAAGGCACAGAATGTGAAACTGACATGTACACACAATGGAATGCCTTTTTTGGCAACCTTTCCTTTCCCCTTGTTCTTTCCGAAGCAACTGACACCACCAAATGAGAAGAGGTGGAACAGGAGGAAGGCTTGCCATAGTGACTTATCTGACTGCTTCCTTTTCAGTTACCTTTGTGGATAGACACAAGAATGCAGAGGTCGGAGCTGCCCCTAACACAATGTGAACTTGTGAGCTAGTTTTGTGCCGCTAAATTCACCTGATACATGTTCTTCATTGTCCTCAATTCTTTTTACCTTTGCAGAGCTAACACTTATTTTAGGATTGTGCCAGGATTTAAACCGGGAACATCAGCTGCAGAGGGCAAATAAGTCAAGCTAATAAGCTCCTCCAATTCTGCTTCTTGCAGACTGCTTCAGTTTTGAAGGAGAAGTCGTTATTTTTAGAATTCCTGCTTGTGTTCACCCTGTACCCTGAATGATTAACTCCTAGTGTGTCCCTTAAGTTTAACCCATATTCCCCCTCTGCTCCTGTGAATGTGAGCACACTTTCCACCCAGTGACCAGGATTTTAAATTTTAAATTATTTTCAATCTGCCTCCTCTTCCTCTCCTATCTCCCCAGTTGCAGCCCTCACTCTCCACCCCTCTGCTATTAAAATCATGTCCGTTCAATCTCCAGACTTGTTTGGGGAGGTGGCAGCATTGTAAGATAAACCTTAAGTAATTATTTTAAGTTTCAGGGTACCTGTGCAGGATGTGCAGGTTTGTTACATAGGTACACATGTGCTATGGTGGTTTGCTGCGCCTATCAACCCATCTCCTAGGTATGAAGCCCTGCATGCATCAGCTATTTGTCCTGGTGCTCTCCCTCCCCCGGCACCCTGGCCTGAAGTTATTATTAAAGTTCAGTTTAGCCGGGCGCGGTGGCTCACGCCTGTAATCCCAGCACTTTGGGAGGCCGAGGCGGGTGGATCACGAGGTCAAGAGATCAAGACCATCCTGGTCAACATGGTGAAACCCCGTCTCTACTAAAACTACAAAAAATTAGCTGGGCATGGTGGCGCGTGCCTGTAATCCCAGCTACTCAGGAGGCTGAGGCAGGAGCATTGCCTGATCCAGGAGGCGGAGGTGGCGGTGAGCCGAGATCGCGCCATTGCACTCCAGCCTGGGTAACAAGAGCGAAACTCCGTCTCAAAAAGAATAAATAAATAAATAAATAATAAAATAAAGTTCAGTTTAACTCTTCTGGTGTCTACAAAGTGTGCCTTTGTTGAGTCTTCAACAGACTATAGCGTGACTCACCTTATGCCATTCAACTGCAGAGGCTGGGGTCATAGGATAAGGGAATCACACAGCTCAGCACGTGGGGAGTTTATTTAAAACCCTAGTGGTCTTTCATTGAGCAGGCAGATGTAGTCATTGCTGACTGATAAATCAACAAAATACGTTTAAAATGTAACCTCTGGCCAGGCGCGGTGGCTCAAGCCTGTAATCCCAGCCCTTTGGGAGGATGAGGTGGGCAGATCACAAGGTCAGGAGATTGACACCATCCTGGCTAACATGATGAAACCCTGTCTTTACTAAAAATACAAAAAATCAGCTAGGTATGGTGGTGCGTGCCTATAATCTCAGCTACTCAGGAGACTGAGGCAGGAGAATCGCTTGAACCCAGGAGGCAGAGGTTGCAGTGAGCCCAGATCACGCCATTGCACTCCAGTCTTGGCAACAAGAACGAAACTCCTTCTCCAAAAAAAAAAAAAAAAAAAAAATCACAAGATAAAATTATAATTTTATTTCATTGAGTTCAATACCTGTGAGCATCTTTCAGGTAAATTAAGAGGAAAAATATATACATATAGTTACGTTTTGGAAATATTTGTACCTAAAACAATATGTAATAACAGTTCCTAATGTTGACTTATCTAAATGCATTATTTCTTTTCCTTCTTCTTGTCTTTATTTGAGACAGACTCTTGCTCTGTTGCCTGACTGGAGTAGTGGTGCGGTCTTGGCTCACTACAACCTCTACCTTCCAGGTTTAAATAATTTTCCTGCCTCAGCCTCCAGAGTAGCTGGGATTATAGGCACCTGCCACCACGCCTGCTGGCTTTTTTTTTTTTTTTTTTTTTTTTTTTTTTTAATTAGAAAAAAAATAACAGGAAAGGGAAAAAAAAAAAAAAAGATTTGAAAATAAATGCAAAACTTTAAGTTATGCACACCTGTAATCCCAGCAGTTGGGCTCCGGGAGGTGGGGCAGTGGCTGAGGCTGGAGGATGGCTTGAGCCCAGGAGTTTGAGACCAACCTGGGCAATGAGATCTTGTCTCTTTTTTTTTTTTTTTTAGATCTGCATCTTCTTGCAGATCCTGTCTCTTTAAAAAAGAAAGAAATTGGCTGGACATGGTAGCTCACATCTGTAATGTCAGCACTTTGGTAGGCCAAGGTGGCCAGATCACTTGAGGTCAGGAGTTCAGCGTGGGTAACATGGCAAAATCCCGTCTCTACTAAAAATACAAAAATTCCAAAGTTAGTTGGGTTTGGTGGCAGGCACCTGCAATCCCAGCTACTAGGAAGGCTGAGGCGGGAGAATTGCTTGAACCTGGGAGGCAGAGATTGCAGTGAGCTGAAATCTGGCCACTCCATTCCAGCCTGGGCAACAGAGCAAGATTCTGTCTCAAAACAACAAACAAACAAAAACAATAAATAAATAAATAAGGAAAAAAGGAAAAAGGCGAGAACTCGCAATGAAAAATGGATGTATTTGGTAACACTGCCCAAATTGGGTAATGTGTTTTGTTTTGTTTTTTAACTTTTTACTGGCAAGAAACATTCTCCAGCATGAACTGAAGGTGCTCTCTTTTCTGGGTGGTATGTTTTTTTTCCCCCCTGAGACGGAGTCTTGCTCTGTCCCCAGGCTGGAGTGCAGTGGCGCAATCTCGGCTCACTACAACCTTGGCCTCCTGGGTTTAAGCGATTCTTCCGCCTCAGCCTCCTGAGTAGCTGGGACCACAGGCGCATGCCACCACACCCGGCTAATTTTTGTATTTTTAGTAGAGACCAAGTTTCACCATGGCCAGGATGATCTCAATCTCTTGACCTTGTGATCCGCCCACCTCAGCCTCCCAAAGTGCTAGGATTACAGGCGTGAGCCACCAAGCCCCTCCTGGGTGGTGCATTTTAACATTGTACTGAATCTGGTTAGGGTGGCTCTTGAGAAGATCACATTTTTTTTTTTTTTTTTTTAAGAGAATCTTGCACTGTCATGAGGCTAGAGTGCAGTGGCATGATATCGGCTCACTGTAACCTCCGCCTCCCAGGTTCAAGCAATTCTACTGCCTCAACCTCCCAAGTAACTGAGACTACAGGTATGCACCACCATGCCCAGATAATTTTTGTATTTCAACAAATCCTGCAAACTGTTTTAATTCATATTGCTGACACCAGGACTGATGTTACAACATAAGTCTCTTCTTTCCCCTCCTTCTTTCCCCTCCTTCCCTAGTCATTCCACCCTCAAACATTTTGGGGCCCTGTACTAGATACTAGAGATACAAAGGAGACTAGAACATTCTCTGTCCTTGAATTCTTCTCAGTCAAGTGAAGACAGAAACTGGGGTCTGAACATTTTGAATAATAAAGCCATTTGTGACAGAGACGCAGCTCTCATTGGAAGTGGAACTTCTATTTCCTGACTCATAATGAAGACCTCTATGCTCAACACCACATACAAAACATGTGCTATGTAGAAAATGTGTAAATTCCATTAACAAATACATTTATCATTTTGAGAGGCTATTTGTGTCAAGACAGCAGAATTTCCAGTACTAACTCATGTTCCCCCTCCACCTTCTTTTTTAATGGCCTTATCTGAATGAATCTCTGTGCCTCCCACTAGATAGGTGACCTAAGACTTCTTGCCCTTTTTTTTTTTTTGAGACAAGAGTTTTGCCCTTGTCGCCCAGGCTGGAGTGCAATGATGTGATCTCAGCTCACTGTAAGCTCCACCTCCTGGGTTCAAGCGATTCTCCTGCCTCAGCCTCTCCAGTAGCTGGGATTACAGGCATGCGCCAACACGTCCGGCTGATTTTTTTGTATCTTTAGTAGAAACAGGGTTTCACCATGTTGGCCAGGTTGGTCTTGAACTCCTGATGTCATGATCTGCCCACCTTGGCCTCCCAAAGTGCTGTGATTACAGGCATGAGCCACCATGCCCAGCCTTCAATACTTTTAAATTAAAAAAAAAAAAAAGTAGTGTTTACTTAGAAGCATTCAGGATGTCAACAAAACAGCTGCAACTTTTTTTTTGCAATTAGAGTGGTATTCAGTTAATGGAACAACAACTATTTTGTATAAGCTGCATCAGAGACAACTGAAGATGAAAAAACTACCATCGTTATATGTAACTAATTTGTGCTGTGCACCAAGATGAACCTGCTTTAAATTTCCACGCTGATTTACAACCCCCATACTGTACCAGGCAAGGTTAGTGGTTACAGAATATACCACCAGGGTGTGCTGGCTCGGGCCTGTGATCCCAGCTACTCAGGAGATGAGGCAATAGAATCTCTTGAACCCGGCAAGCAGAGGGTTGTAGTGAGTCAAGATTGTGCCACTGCACTCCAACCTGGGTGACAGAGCGAGACTCCGTCTCAAAAAAAAAAAAGACAGAAGAATACCACTAGGACAGAGCTATCTAAAGACACATTTCGGTAGTATGTTAATTACATAAAAAAAGACACTGTACAGTTTAAAAACAAAATTTACACAGCCTTACATTTTAATTTTTTTCTTTAAAAGGAGTGAGTTTTATACAGGGGGGTTAAATGCTTTGTAGACAAGAAAAAAAACTTGGAGAACCAGGTTATTCATTATCACCATCTTCTTCATCTTCCTCCTCCTCATCCTCTTCATTTTCCTCAGCTTCCTCTTCTTTTTCTTTTTTTCAGCCTTGACCACTCCCTTTTGTGCTGCATCAGGCTTTCCTTTACCTCGACATGCAGCAAGATCCTCTGTATTCTTCCTTCAGTTTCGCAGCTGCTTTTCCTAAGGCTGCTTGTCATCTGCCGCAGTGACATTCCACGTCTCTCTCAGGTTCTTCCAAGCATCACCAATGGACAGGCCAGGATGTTCTCCTGTAACTTTTGGGCAATACTCAGACTAGGACAGAAACAAGGCCAACGGAGGCCTCTTGGGTGCCTTGGGATCCTTGAACTTCTTTTTTGTCACCCCTGTAGGAGAGAGAACGGTTTTCATTTCTCTTTCATCACGGGCCTTGTCCACCTTTGCCGTATCTTCAAATTTTCCTTTCTCTTTAGCAGACATGGTATTCCACCTCTCTGAGGACTTCTTGGAAAACTCTGAGAAATTGACTGAAGCATCTGGGTGCTTCTTCTTATGCCCATCTAGACAAGTTTGCACAAAAAATGCATATGATGACATTTTGCCTCTTGGCTTCTTAGGATCTCCTTTGCCCGTATGGAGTTATTTTTCCTAAGTGAGGCAAGAGTGGCCCAGTGCACGTCTGCTCTCACTTGCCCTTGTGCTGTCTCTATGGAGAGGATAATAATTTAAAAGTTTTAAATAAGCATGTCTTATCCTTCAGTTATCTAAAGCAGGTTTTTTGTTTGTTTTTGTTTGTTTGTTTTAAAATCACTCCTTTGTCTTTATTAAAGAAACTTAGAAAGAAACCAGACCTGGCAACCAAGGGGTGAGGTACTGGCCAGGAAGGTGAAGTGAGGCTCAGGCTCTGGGGATTTCAAGTGCAGACTGATGGCCTGGGAGAGGCCAAGGAGACCAGATCCTGGCAGCAGCTGAGGAGGTGCCCAAGGGCACTTTGAGGCACTGGGGCTGTCCGCTGGTTCTGTGGGGGTTGGGATGCAGGGTAGGTTGGGCTGGCCTGGAATCTCCCTGAGGCCACCCTGCCTTGTCTCCCCAGATCATCCACTGGTCCCGATCCTGTTCATTGCCTTCCATGCCACCTCATTGACCTCTCTGTCATCAGGTGACTCACTGTAGTCATTCCTCTCATCCATGTCCTGCATGTCCTCATCATCCTCTGAGTCCTCTTCACTGTCCTCATCATCTTCATCATCCTCTTCTTCCTCATCATCATGATGCTCTGATGCTGGCTTGCCAATAGGAACCAGGTTGTTGTCTTTCTCTGCGATGCTTTGGAGCGAGGCCTGATGCTGCTGTTCCTGATGCTTCAGCTCTGTCCCTTCCACACAGGGTCGATCCACATTACACCACAGTGTCTCAGTCACACGAGGGAAGAGTGAGGAGAACAAAGTGGACATGGCTCCTAGATAACTGTTTGACCTTGGCTGAGTCACTTAACCTCTCTGGGCCTCAGTGTCTTCATCTGTAAAATGGGGATAATAACAATTATACCACTCTCAAAAGTTATTCTGATAATTAAGTAAATAATGGATAAAGCTGTTTGCAGGCTGTTCAAGGAGGGAGGGGAATGGGAGTCAAGTGTAAGAATAGAAATCCAGAATGCAGACTGGCATTATGAAATTATACAAAATTAGAGGTAGCAGGGTTCTACTGAAATTATCCCTACCTCTTCTATACACTAAAACCTGCTTTTTTTGCTCCTTTATGATGGTCTATACCACACCTACCCAGTGTCAAAAATTTAGGACACTAACCACCTCTCTAATGAATCACAGCCAAATGTCGGGGTGGGGGGATTGTAAGCATATGCAAGCAGGGTTCAGTAAGACATTCTAGGAGGCATGAATAAGTAGATAAGTAAGTAGATGGAAGACTGAATGGATGAACTAACATATGAGAGTACAATCAGCTTTGTTTGAAGGGCTAAAAGAGCCGACCAGGAGTGCCAGATAATCTGAATTAAACTGAGGACAGGCAAACTGAGGCCCAGCGACAGGCAGAGACTGGCTTTAGGTCACACAGTGAGTCGGGGCTTAGAATTCCCCGGTGAAAGGGATCCAGGCCGGCGTTAGAGATAAGCAGGAGAAAAGAATCGATGCCTGATCCTGCTTTTGTCCTAATTTATCTGACCGATCCAGGGCCAGCCGCTGCCCTTCCCTGCATCTCAGCTTTCCAACCCTCGTAATAGGCACAAGGGCAAACACCCTCTTGTCCAAGAAGTACTGACAGGCCAGAGTTCTTGGCTCCGAAAGCCCAACCCACCGCCGCAAAGCCACCGCCCATTCTTTGCTTATTACGATAATGACCACGCAGTTGACCAACAGAAAGAAAGTAGGGGCGGGACTCAGACAGAAATTTGGCCTTATAGGGTTGCTAAACGCTAAAAAAGCGGGGCCTCTGTAGGACCAATTAGCTGAAAGAAATCCTGGGTGACAGGAAGTGACACCAATGAATGACGGATCTTGTGTGACGGGGTGGGGCTTAGTCTCGAGGAAGCAGCCAATGAGCTGGAGATCTTTACGGGTTAAGGACTCTGAATATGGAGCTCCAGAAGAGTCGGGTCAAAGGAAATGGGTTTCTCTGGGGTAAGAAGGAATGAAGGGGCAAGGAGACTGCCGCAGCCTTCCTTCTGTACTTACCGCGCGGGTAGGCGACCGCCAGCGGCGACCCGGAAGCGCTTCACTCAGCCTGAGCGGAAGAACCCACCAGAATCCGGGACTCACCAAACGCATGCGTCCTTCGTCTCCTTTTGTTTTTCCCCGCTCCCGCCCACTAAACCGGATGTGACGTTGACATACCTTAGCCTTATTGTTAGGGAAGGAATTGTGCCGCGCCTATCTGCCCCGCCTTGAGTCTCAGCCAATCGGCCTCTCCATCCTGGCCCCGCCCCGACAGCACGATTTAACCCGTCCCTTTGTTCCCAGACGCCTTTTGCTTGTTAACCCCTTCTGAAGAACTGATAGCAACTTCTTAGTACGAGGGCCGTTTGCCCTACTGCATCCCAGGAAAACTAATCTGTTTCTACCCCAGAATCGCTGGTTGATGTTACGCCCCTCCTGTCTGTGCTCTCTCAGCTTCAGTTTTCCATCTGAGCATTCATTCTTTTTTAATTTTTGCTCTGAACAAAATATTTGAGTTCAACTATTACTATATTCCAGGCTCTCCTAGAAACTGGGGATAAATCTATGAATATGGTCGCTGCCCTGGAAGACCTCACAGTCCCGGGAAGCCAAACCCTGCAGACTTGCAGTGGACTCACTGTTCTCTTAAGGTTGCCTGTTGAGTTCTCTCTGATACTGGAGATTATGTACAGACTTGAATGACAGCCTCAGGCACAGCATTCTGCTGCTGGGGGAATCAGCTTCCCTCAGGCCTGGGCCAGGATCCCTTAGAGGTCAGCCTTTTCACCTCTCCCATTCCTTTGCTGACGCCTCTGTTCTAGTAACCTCTGACTCAGCTTCCCCTTTAGAGATACTCATGCTTTCTGGCAACAGAGATCCTTCAAACCCAATTCCTATTAAGCTCCATCACTTACCAGCCTCTTCCAGGGCTAGCAGGCATCCACAGTTCCAGTACGATCCTGGCCAGATATGTGGGTTTGGGGAAGTCCTTTTCCTCTTTCTGGACTCAGTTTCTTCATCAACCAGCCTCATAATCTCTCCCCAGCCTACCTCTTATCCTGGGCTGATGTGAAGACTGGATAAGAATTGTTCAAGAGGTCGTGTACTGTGCATACTGAATGTGATTATATTGCCAAGTAGCACTGCTTCTTATAAAATTTTTCATTAAAGAGTAAACTTTACCTCTTGGAAATGACTATTTTTTTCATTCATTCAACAAATACCTATTGAGTGCCTTAGTATATGTCTATCACTATTCTTAGTAGCGGGTATACAGTAGTAAACAAAACAGATCAAAAAAGTTCCTCTTTTCATGCAGCCTTCATTCTGAGAGATGTAAACAATAAAGAACATAGATAATTAAAATATGTAGTTTTAAGATTTTAGTAAATACTGAGGAGAAAAAATAAATCTGATAAGTGGAAATAAACTGTTTGCAAGGGAGGTATTTTATTTTAGATTGGGGGTCCACGGAAGTCACTGGGAAGGTGGCTTCTGAGTAAAGGTCTGAAGGAGGAGAGAGCCTTCTGATATTTGGGGAAGAGCATTTCAGGGAGAGAGAATACAAGTGCAGAGGGCCTATAATGGCCTTGAGCATAGTGTCCTCTGGCATCTTTTTCTTACAGGATTCCTACCTCAGGCACCATTTGCCCCTGTCCTTCTTGATAACTCTGCCTGCTGGAAATTCCCTAGTAACAGAGTTTCTTTTCAAGGTCATCAGCCAGGATCAGTAAGTCATGACGACTGGTTAGTTGGTGATATTTATTGAGTGCCAGCTGAGCGCCGGACACCTTTCTAGGCCCTGGGGACAAAAGGGAAGTAGAAATAATTCCTGCCCAGGAGAAAAATAGAGTATAGTGAGAACTAAGATAATTAGAGACAATTATAGAGGAGGGTAATAAATGTTAAAATCAATGTAGAGAACATAGAGGACATAGAGAAAGGAGAGATAATTGGGTTCTGGACAAACTAAGTTTAGACTTTTGTTCCAGAAAAGAAAACATTTCAGTGGGCCTTGAGGGATGAGTAGACGTTAAGCCCACTGGTAGATAAGTGGGAAAAGAGTGTGCACAAAGAGGCATATTTCATTCAAGGGCATGTTTGGAGAACATTGAGAATCTAGGTAGAACTAGATGTATGGAATGGAAAGAGATGAGAAAGAATGATAGGGGACCCAGATAGGGAAGGTCTTTGGTGGCCCTATATGGAGTGTGTGGGATGGGGGCCGAACATCTTGGGTCTCACCTTTGTCTTATTGCTGACTTGCTAGGGACCCTAGGTAGATGTCTCCTCATTCACAAGCTTCCACGTTCTCTAACATAATATCTTAACCATGTCACCGCTCTGATGTAAATCCCTAGAAGGGATTCCCTTAGCTTGGCCCTTTCTGTTCTTAGATTTTTACCTATGCCTTATTTGTGTTTTATACAAACCAGGGCCTAGGAACAGAAAGCAAGGGCAGGATGGGGATTTCTCAATAGAAATCAAGAAATCCAGAGCCCAGAGGCTGCAGATGGAAACCCTGACTCTATGCGGAGAATTCTCCAGGATCCAGGAAGGGCCAGAGTTGAATGGTGTGAATTCAGTGCTAGTGAGAGCTGCTTACTCATTCCTCCAGAAGCCTTGAGGAGCATGGCTGGCTCTGGTAGGGGACAGAAGAGAATGTCACAGTCACAGTCACTATCTTTCATACATACGGAGAGATGGTTGGTCTCCATTGGGTTTTCCCACTCCTGGTCTCTACTTATCCTTAGCCCAGCCCTGGGAATTCTGCCCTCATTTAGCAGATGAGGAACCTAAGGTTTAGAAAAGTAAAGCAGCTTGTCTGAGCTGATGCTACAACTCAAGAATGTCAATCTTGCACTGTTCCACAAAGCTTCATTATGGGCTGGTATGTGCTTACCGATGAGGAATCCGATCTGAGCCCTAGTCCTAGTCCTCTGCAACTACCCAGTCTGGTGTGGGTACCAGCCTAAGGCAAGTCATTAGACCCCGGAAGCCAGGTCTCTGTGTGATTCATTTCTATTTCCCTGATACCTTGCACAACGTCTAGCACAGAGTAGCCACTCAACAAATGTTTATGTAAGATGGATTTGTTTCCTTGAGTCTCATGGAATTGTAGTTCACGTGGTGAATGGTATAAAAGAGAAAACTGGGAATATTAAAAAGAGAAGAGCAGCATGGGAGGGGAGGTGGAGAAGGCTCCTCAAAGGAGATGAGACCTTGCAAGAGGAGTCAGGAAAGAACATTCTAGTCAAGAGCAGATAGCATGTGCAGAAGTGCAGAGGCCTGAAAGGGTGTGGTGTGCCCAGGACAAGGTGTTGACTGAGGGCCTGTTGTGTGGCCATCTTGGTGATGGGCACAGTGAACCAAACAGGACCAGGAGACAGTACCCTGTGCTCAAACGACAATGCACACCCTTGGAGGAGGACAGGGACATGTTGAGACAGGCTTCCTTGAGCAGGGTAGACTCCAGCTGGGTCTTGAAGGATGCTTCAGAGTTAGAGTCAGAGAGGAAGAAAGAGAAAACCTCCCAGGTGGGAGGGGCCTCCCTAGGCAGGGCTGTGGTATGGAGAAAAGAGGAGAATGCACAGGCGGGAGAGCACGGTGTGTGGAGGGCAGGCTGGTCGGGTGGGAGGGGATGGCAAGCTCCACTTGGGTGGGCTGGCCGAGGGAATGCACCTTAGCCTAGGGTATAAGGCTTGTTCTGCCTCATGGTCGCTCAACACCTCATTTATTTCCTGTCATTGTGGCCTCCCTAGACTTGACTCTGACTTTGGGATGGATAGATGAGTTGGAAGGGATCTCTGTGGGTTATGTTCCAGTTCCCTAGAAAGCCAGCCCCAGGAGAGGTGCTCCAGCCAGGTCCCTACTCCCATGGTGATTTTGCATATATTTACTTACCACAAATGTATGGTAAGGTTTCTTCACTAAGGTTTAATGGGCTAAGGTTTCTCCTTACTTTGACTAAAGCAAAATAGACACAAAGTTTGAAAAGAGGCCCTCTGCGTCAGAGGCAAAGGCTGAGTAGACACAGACCTACACACACATACACACACACACACACACACATACACATACACACCCTCACTATCATGCAGTGGTAGTAGGCAGAATGAAGGCTCCCCAGAGATATCCATGTCCTAATCCTATGGTGTCTATCTTACATGGCAAAAGGGACTTTGCAGATGTGATTAAAGTTAAGGACTTTGACATGGGGGATTATCCAACTGTGCCAAATCTATTTACACGAATCCTTAAAATCAGATAAGCCTTCCTAGCTGTGGCCAGAAAACAAGACATGACAAAGGAAGAAGCGTCAGAGAGATGCTACATTGCTGACTTTGAAGATGGAGGAGAGGGCCATGAGCTAGAGAACACAGGTGGCCTCTAGAAGCTGGAAAAGGAAAGGAAACCTATTCTCTCCTAGAGGCTCCAGAAAGGAACAAAGACCTGCTGACACCCTAATTTTAGCCCAGTGAGACCCATGTTACACTTGTAACCTACAGAACTGTAAGTTAATAAGCTTGTGTTGTTTGATGGGCTCAGTGGCACATTCCTGCAGTCCCAGCTACTTGGGAGGCTGAGGGTGGAATGCTACCGGATGGTGCCCTGCAGCTCCAGGCTTTCGGTGTCCCAGACAACGAATTGGATGAGACACGCACAGATAGCAAAGCAAAGCGGCAAAAGCTTAATAAGCACAGTATTACGCTCTCAGAGGGGGAGAGTGGACTGACCTCTGGGAGATGAGATCAACATTAGTTTGGTGCACTCTGGCTCTGTGTGTGTGTATGTGTGTGTGTGTTTCTTCTCTTCCCAAGGCTGCCTAATCTCTAGCCAGTGTCTGCCTTTTTGACTGATAGATGTGTTGCTTAGTTACTTTGGCCCTTTTGTGTCACCTCCATCCCATAATTTTAAGTACATGCATGATATGCAGTCCACATGCATGAGCTTTAATGAGCTGATTACCATATGGGGTCATGTTAAGGATACTTTTTCTCTTTAATGCGCATGTCCATCTCTGAGGAGCTGTCCCTGACAGGTTTTTTCTGGATTTAGCCGGCATGGGGTTTATTTTTCTCACTTTTGTTTTGGCTGTTCTGCTTATCTCACTTCTTGCTCACCTGCACCTTCACCTTCCGTGCTTTTACTCATTCTTTTTTTGTTGTTGTTGAGACGGAGTTTCACACTTCTTGCCCAGGCTGGAGTGCAATAGAGCGATCTTGGCTCACTGCAAACTCTGTCTCCTAGGTTCAAGCGATTCTCCTGCCTCAGCCTCCTGAGT